ATTGCAAACTCTGCTACTGCAGTTGCTAAGTCAATATTTTTTAATGATCGATCTATCTTTCCGCTTTCTACGTGTGTTGATGGCTACTATGGACTTGGTGAAGTCTTCTTAGGGGTGCCTGCCGTTGTTGATGGACGGGGAATACGGGAGATTGTCGAGATTCATCTTGCCGAAGAAGAACAAGAGGCGCTTCAGCATTCCGCTTCAGTTCTTACGTCCTTCTATGCACAACTATCTACGCTCGATTGATTTGAGGGGAGTCGCTGCTCGGCAGGATCGTGTGCTTTGCAAAGAGACGGGGTTGATTGGAGGTGATGTCGTGACAGGGCGACGTTAGTGTTGATGACGCGGTATATTGAAAGGAGAGGAAAGTAATGAAAAGAACGTTTAAGTCTATGGATGGCAATAATGCAGCGGCATGGGTTTCGTATGCGTTTACTGAAGTAGCGGGTATCTATCCCATCACCCCGTCAAGTCCTATGGCAGACTACATCGATCAGTGGTCGGCGCAGGGGCGTAAAAATATTTTTGGTAGCCCCGTTAAAGTTGTTGAAATGGAGTCCGAAGGTGGTGCTGCAGGTGCGGTCCATGGTTCGCTGGGAACTGGTGCTCTTACCGCTACCTACACCGCTTCGCAGGGACTTTTGCTCATGATACCTAACATGTATAAGATTGCCGGTGAATGTCTTCCCGGCGTTTTTCATGTGAGCGCCCGTACGGTTGCCACCCATGCTCTGAGTATTTTTGGCGATCACTCTGACGTTATGGCATGTCGTCAGACGGGTTTTGCGATGCTTGCCGAAAGTAATGTTCAAGAAATCATGGATCTTTCACCGGTGGCGCACCTTGCGGCTATTGAGGGGAGCGTTCCCTTCCTCAATTTTTTTGACGGCTTTCGTACGTCACACGAGATTCAAAAGGTTGCTGTATGGGATTACGATGATCTTGCTGATATGGTCGATAAAAAAGCTGTTCAGGCATTCCGTGATCATGCTCTAAATCCTGAACATCCTCACAGTCGTGGCGGCCACGAAAATGGTGATATTTTCTTTCAGCACCGTGAGGCCTTAAATCCTCTGTACCTCAAGATTCCCGGCATTGTCGAAGCATGTATGGGAAGGATAAATAAAAAGCTGGGTACTGACTACCAGCTGTTTAACTACTACGGTGCACCTGATGCTGATCGCGTTGTTGTCGCCATGGGTTCATTTTGCGATACCCTCGAAGAGGTCGTCGATTATCTCAATGCTCATCAGGAAAAAGTCGGACTTATAAAGGTTCGACTCTTCCGTCCGTTCTCAATTGAGCACTTTGTGAAGGTGTTGCCGGCGTCGGCCGCCAAGGTTGCGGTACTTGATCGCACAAAAGAGCCCGGTTCTATCGGAGAACCTTTGTACCAAGATGTTGTTTCAGCGCTTTATCGTGCTGGCAGAGCGGACGTATGTGCGGTTGGCGGTCGCTATGGCCTTGCATCCAAGGATGTTACGCCGGCGGCAGGTTTTGCCCTTTTTGAAGAGCTGAAAAAAGATACTCCAAAAAGTGAATTTACCCTTGGTATTTGTGATGATGTAACACATCTTTCGCTTGCAGAAGATCCTGATGCTCCCAATACCTCAACGCCCGGCACCATTGAGTGCAAATTCTGGGGTCTTGGTGGCGATGGTACGGTTGGTGCCAATAAGAACTCAATTAAAATTATCGGCGATCATAGTGACAAGTACGTTCAGGCATATTTTCAATATGATTCCAAAAAGACCGGTGGTGTCACTATTAGTCACTTGCGTTTTGGCGATGCACCCATTCGCTCATCGTATTATGTGACTAAGGCAGACTTTGTGGCCTGTCACAATCCAACCTACATCACCAAAGGTTTTCGTATTGTACAAGATGTTAAGCCCGGTGGAACACTTCTGATCAACTGTCAGTGGGATATAGACGAACTTGCTCACCATCTCAGTGCGGAGGCGAAGCAATATATTGCTCGTAACAATATCAAACTTTATATTATTGATGCTACTGATCTGGCGGTGCAGGTTGGTATGGGCAAGCGTACCAATACGGTGCTACAGTCAGCATTTTTCTCCCTGACTCAGGTACTTCCTGTTGTTGATGCGCTGCAGTATATGAAAGATGCTGCCACCAAGTCATACCTTAAAAAAGGTCAGGCTATCGTTGACGCCAATCATAAAGCTATTGATGTAGGCGCTACGGCATACACCGAGGTCGAAGTTCCTGCTTCGTGGGCAAATGCCTCGGATGAGCAGAGTACGTTGCCCCTCAAGGGACGCGCTGCTCTCGTAAAGCAAGTGAAAGAATTACTCCGTCCTATCAACAATATGGACGGCGACCGTCTACCGGTTTCCGCTTTTACTGCTCATGTCGATGGACAATTTGAGCTTGGTGCTAGTGCATACGAAAAGCGTGGTGTTGCTGTTAATGTGCCTCATTGGAATGAGAGTACGTGTGCACAGTGTAATATGTGTGCTTTCGCCTGTCCCCATGCGACTATTCGACCCTTTGCTCTTACGGAAGACGAGGTAAAAAAGGCTCCCGATGCTCTGCGCACCGCTGAGCTAAAGGTGCCGAAAGATACGGGACTCCACTATACGTTGGCGATATCGCCGCTTGACTGTATGGGCTGTTCCGTGTGTGCTGAGCTATGTCCGACAAAATCGCTGTCGATGGTGCCTCAGGCCGACGAGCTTGATCAACAAGAGGTATTTAACTATGCGGTCGATGAGGTTTCTGAAAAGCCGGAGCTTCAAGGTGCTACCGTTAGGGGAAGTCAATTCTTCCAACCTCTGCTAGAGTTTTCTGGTGCCTGTGCTGGTTGTGCTGAGACGGCATATGCGCGCCTCGTAACGCAGCTTTACGGCGACCGCATGTTCATTTCAAATGCTACGGGTTGTTCTTCGATTTGGGGAAATCCTGCTGCTATATCGCCGTATACGGTCACCAAAGCGGGGCGTGGTCCTGCGTGGAATAACTCCTTGTTTGAGGATAATGCTGAACATGGACTGGGCATGGCTATCGGGTACGCTTCGCAGCAAAATCGTTTAGTTATTTTAGCTCATGCGTTGATTGAAAAAACTTCGTCAAATGAGCTTAAAGCAGCTGCTCAAGCGTGGATTGATGCTAAAGATGATCCGGTAAAGAGCAAGGAAACCGCTGAAACATTCATCACTTTGCTTGAAAAAGACTCCTCTGATCTTGCACAAAGCATTCTTGCTGATAAGAGCTTCCTTACTAAGAAGTCCTTCTGGCTTTTCGGCGGTGACGGCTGGGCTTATGACATTGGATTTGGAGGACTTGATCACGTGCTTGCCTCAGGACGAGACCTCAATGTTTTTGTTTTCGATACTGAGGTGTATTCGAATACGGGCGGTCAGGCTTCTAAAGCATCCAATCTCGGTCAGGTTGCCCAATTTGCCTCTGCTGGTAAGGACGTTAAGAAAAAAAGCCTCGCTGAGATTGCCATGACGTATGGATACGTATATGTTGCTCAGGTTGCCATGGGTGCAAATATGGCTCAGACACTCAAGGCTATAACAGAAGCTGAGGCATATCCTGGTCCGGCACTTATTGTGGGCTATTGTCCGTGCGAGATGCATTCCATTGCCGGTGGTATGAAGAACTGTCAGGCTGAGATGAAAAAGGCTGTCGCGTGTGGCTATTGGAATCTTTTCCGCTTTAATCCTTC